TATATATCACATTAAATTCATGCAAAATGGAGACCTGATGAGAAGTTTGTAGTAATAGAAACAAACAATAATAACAATGAAACTATGAAGGTAAAGCATTACAGTACATTAATTTTAACTATGAGCGTTTTGATCATTCTTAGTGTACTGATGTATTAGCTAAATATGTACACTACAAAAAAAAACAGTCAGTATTAAAACTATATTTCAACAAAGCATTTTGGAAAGTATTCTTAGAGTTGCTGTTTCTGGGGAATAGTGCAGGGCTGTCAACAAAGGCAGGTAGCCAGCCAAAACCGCTGGCTAGTTAGCCATCCTTCACTGGCTACTTTCATCTCCTCCTACCACAGGATCTAACAAAAAATAAGTACCATCGAATAAAATTGCAAAGCATCTGTTTCCCAGGTTTGAATCACATTGAATGCATATTTAAACAGTAATTAGATCTGTGAAACATTAGAACGGTGCAATGTCATGGAAGGTCTGGGACATTACTGAGACTCTAACAAATGCCTTTGGTGCGAGTTCCAAAGCCGCCTACTATTATTCTATTATGAGCCTGCTACTTAAAAACTTTTTGACAGCCCTGATATTGCACAGTAAATAAACACTGTTGGATATACACACGCAAGTGGTCCAAGACCATCATTTATGCTACCTATCCCTTAATCAAAAAACCTACAAATAGCCTTTTGCCGACTTTTTCACCTGATTTTACATTAGATTTAGATTTGGTTGTTTTATGCTGAAAAGCTTGGTATTTTGATTACAGCTACAGTTTACATTGTAGAGCAGTCCCCTTTTGCTATGGCCCAAAGACTGGACACAGTGAACTCGAATGCTGTATTAGCCAATGAAATAATTCTAAGATGCATTTATGCTGTAGTAGCTAATAACATAAGATGTAATAACGTGTGTTGTGTTCCTGTTTCTTTATGATTCGTTTTACAAGGGATTTGAATCAGAGATGGTTAACATTGCTAGTATCAAATGCTTGCTTGTCAAGCGAGTCGGATGCGACGGTTACACCTCAAGATAACTATCTTGTAAGCTAATACATTGTTACTACATGTACATCTAAATTATTATTAAATAATAATTTTATTAGCTAATACAGCGTTTGGGTTCTCTGTGGACAAAGGAAACTGTCTGTAATAATGAGCTGTCCATAAAGTGGTGCTTAATTTCATTTGCCAGCAGTTCTTTTTATCTTAATATTCCAGATGGTATATAAAACAACTTATTATTTGAAACTGGCTACAGTGTTGATGGGATGCTACAGTGTACAATAATACTTTGAAGGGTCTGCACTCTTATCAATCATAGTCAATGCCTCCTGTGAGCCAGCTCATGGATGAATTTGATACATGTACAAAAGGAAATCCAACAGTCAACAATCAGAAAGATGTAATACTATGGTGACCTCATGATGGAACTTAACGAAACTAAATGTATATATTTTTTAAGTTAAGTTTTTTAAGTTATGTAAATAAGTCTTCTGTTGAAGAAAATGAAACGATGTCAAATGTTTTGCTGTGCATGCATAAATCATGCAAGCATGAATTTGACAAAGGTTTGGAATTGAAAACTGGACAAGTTTGTACTTGATGTACCAAATTTCTCATCGGCTGAAACTAACAAGCATCATGTGCCAATTTTTGGCTCTAGATGACATCTTAAATAAGAAAACCCATATTTTGGAAAGCATTTTTTGGCAAAACAAGAACTGATTATGCGTCTATATATTATAAAACTTAAAAGAACTCAATCACAATATCAATAAATAAACAGTACAGGTAAACCCCCAATGCTAGCAATCTTCTGTGACCCAAAGAGGGCAAGTATGTTGGTGTAAAAAAATAATAACTCCAAGGATTGCTCTACAGAGATATAACCATCCCTTTTCAGGGCTGTCATTAAGTTTTGAAACAGCCATAGCAAATGAAGATTCACGCAACACAGGTCCCAAAAATTTAAATTTAACATCAAGTGAGCTCAGCTGTAACAGGTGTTATGGGTTACGACCCTTAATGACAGCTCTGCCTTTCTATTTTAGACAATTCTCAGTTTATGAAAAGCCAAAACATTTTTATTTAATTATTACATGTAGATCTCATTACACTTTTATACTTCTTTGGAACATTACCTGCTATTTTTCAAGATTATT